AAAAAAAAACACAAAATCAAACAGTGATATCAATTTTTTTTAAATATATATTTTTTTGTTTTTGTGAACAATACTTTGAGAGGAATAGTACCTCGAATGTACAGTAACCTTTTTTTTTCGTTGTTGTACTCTTTTTTTTTACTCCTTGATGACGGAAGATGATTAAACCACCAACAACTAAATGAAACGACAAAAAGAAAAACAAGGACGAAGAAGAACTAAGAAAGAACAATTAAAATAGAAGAAAAAACTAAGAAAACAAAATTAACGACTCAACAAATAAGGAAAAGATATAACCTTCAATTAATTTGGAGTCAAAGCTCTAATACCAACTGATGCGAACCTCATAGCAACATTGACTACGAAACCCACAACGAGATTGACGAACCCAAGAAAGCCAAATTAATCCAAAGTTTAGGATTAACCCAAAAGAAAGTCGAACCAAAAAATCCAATGAGAACGACTCTTGAAAGACCCCTTGATCATCAATCCAAGAATTAAATCTAGTTGTTTAAACGTCACAAGTTAACACTTGATAAGTTCGAAGTTGTTCAATGAAGAACGATGAAGAGAAGACAATACGCATCACTTTAATTCAATATCAATAATGTCAAAAAGTTTTTAACAATTGAATGGAAACTCATATTTATACTAAACCTAAAAACTAGGTAAAAATCGTGCAAAAGTCGAGCATGATCTCAAAAATATGGAAAAAAAATCAAAATCTAACAAAATATGGAAAATTGCCAAAATTGAAAAATTCGCCAAAATTTTTGGCTTGTGCGACCGCATGGTTCAACAAAAAATCCCAATTTAAGTTTCGGTATGCCACTGTGCAACCGCATGGTATTTTGCCTGTGCGGCCGTTTTCAGCCTTTGATTTCATCGCTTGATAACAAATTGATCCAAGTTGATTCGACCTTCGACCCGAACATGAAAGTTGCTCCATTTTGAGTCCCGAACATGGTTCCATCAATGGTTTCTTGAACGAGTAATCCCATCGCTCGTTTCACTTGCTTTACCCTTGATCGTTTCATTGGTCCGTCATCAACTATCAACGGGTCTCATCTCGCACTTGCCTTCGTTGGGCTCGACTCCTGGATCATATCATGTCACGTGGTAAAGTGTAAACTAAAGTGTAGACCATAGTATACATGCAGCAAGGTCCTTACCGATTGAACTTTTCTATTTGTACACTGATTTTCGACATATTGTCTGACACTTGAATTGTTGTCATGTGTCAATTGGAAGGGAAAATTATTTGAAATTTAAATTGTCCAACAGGGTAATGTCACTTGGACAAGTGTAAATTAAAGTGTATACCATGGTGTACATGTAGCAAGGTTCTTACCGATTGAACTTTGCTATTTGTACATTGATTTTTGACACGTTGTTCAACACTTGCATTGTTGTCAAATGTCAATTGGGCGGAAAAACTGTTTAAAATTTAAACTGTCCAACAGGGTAATGTAATGTGGCAAAGTGTAAACTAAAGTGTACACCATAGTGTACATGTGGCAAGGTCCTTACTGATTGAACTATACTGTAACGGCCTGATTTTTCGTTAAACATCGGAAAGTTATGAAAAACGCATTTTTCTTTATCTTAAATGTGGAACTATAAAAATAAAATTCTTTATTGAACAACTAACTGCAACATTTATAAATTTAAATTTAAATTGTGAAAATCTTTTCTAAATATAAACATAAACTTTTAGCTAATTCAAATAACACATTTTGAATAAATTAAACTAACTGGTAAATTTAAAACGACAAACTTATTTCTTTTTCTCTATTCTTTATCCACTTGGCAGCCCGCATCACCAAATCACTATTGTTCGAATCGACTCAAACTAACCTGTAAAATTAATAAAAGAGTGAGTATTTAAAATTACCCAGTAAGATACGTGCAATTTCCATACACAATTACATAACAAATAAATTATACACTTCATACTGCTCTTCTCTTATGGAGTATATCCGTGACCAAGCGACACACCCATCTTAGGTCCTCTTAAATTCCCCTAGAAATATCATATCTCTTTCTCTAGGACCCAAAGGTCCATTAATAATCCATGCATATTAATTGTATATAAGAGCATAAGGAAACTTAAAACACTTTGCACATAAATGTATCTTACCTCATTAGAAAAATCTAAATGCACGTTCAAAATCTTTTCTCCATTTTGAAAAACACGTGATTAAATTATTTGCTGTATGAACACTTTATTTCCAATAGTTCCCTCTCTCTAAGTTGCTTTTCTGTCGGGCAGTGAGCTTGTATTTTTCTTTCCCTCTCTGATTATCTCTCTCTATCTCTCTGTCGTATATAATATATGAAATTTGTGTGGTTCATACCTTTTGAAAGTAGTGAGGTAATTATAGGGTAGGTTTCCTATGGAAAGTGGAATACGTACATGCTGATTAAATTCATCTAGAATATATGATAAGTCAAAATCTTGTGAAAAGCAACAAAAGGTCTAATCATATTGTACTATAATATTATCTTATTCAATCCAAGAAACCCATACCTACTACACATGTCCCATACAATTTTTTTTTCATGATATAACATGTAGATAAAGTACAACTATATAGTCAAACTTATCAATTTGGGTTAAGGCTAGCACGTGAACTTTTTGTTAAATGGTTTTAAAATTAGTTTCAAAAGTAGGCCTTGCCTAGGATAGGTTTTAAATCAACCAACCAATCAATCATTTCATATATAAAACTAGGATTAAATGTTTGGGATATACTTTTAAAATAAATAATAGTTATCCACCTTCACCCGTGGACCATGGGCGACCCAAATGCCAAAATCCCATTTTAAAAAAATACTATTAAATAGACATTTCTTTAAACATAAATATCTAAGACGTAACTTATTCGAATTATCTTTTTCTTGAGCCTAAATTACATGATTTAATATGATCTATCCAACAAGTCCAATATCGATATATTAAATCTCGTTTTATAAAAATCTGATTATTTGAATGTGATTAAACCTTTTTCAAATTTAAGATAGGCATGCTTATGCAAACAAACAACTTAAATAATCAAAGTGCAAAAATCTTTATTCTAGGCTAATGATGTCTAATTATTATAATTTAAGCTAATTTTTAATAACCGTAATTTTATATACCATTAAATTATTTAAATGCTTAAATTAGTCCTGCTAAAATATCTATGTACTATTCAATGTTACTATTATATAATAGGGTAGACAAGATTTCTATTATCAAGTCAAATATTAAATATTAAAATTGATTGACAATCCTTATCTACCCTCAACACATGGTAGCCAGTGATTGTAAATCTCAAAATCAAAACTAAAAGGATGTCCATTGTTGCACGTGCATGCTACCTTATTAAATATAAAATATTAAATGTAAATCAAAATCAAATTCTAACAACTTCTACAAACTGAAATATATTGGGTCTAACTTATCCAAATTCATTTTTTCTCGAGTCTAAAATGCATAATTAAATACGAGCTATCTAACGAGTATAATATTGATATGCTTATACTCACTCTATCAAAATTCACATATTTGACCCCAAAAATATACAAATTTATAAATATATTTTGACTTAGTCCCTCAACTTTTGAAACCATAAAATATTATATATATTTATTCTAAAATTTTTGGGGGTGTTATACTCTCCCCTTAAAGAATTTCGTCCTCGAAATTACCTGCATTTGGGTCCTTTGTTGTTCGTTCCTGGGCTAAAGCAAAAACTCGGGCATTTCCCTTCTTTTCTGGTTCATCATTCTTCTTTAAGGGATCTTCTTTGCAATTTTTGGAAATGTGATCCGTTTTGCCACATCGATAGCACACATGTTTCCCGAACAAACATTCCCCACCATGCATCCTGTTGCACTTTGAACAGGGTGAAATGACTCGTCCAAAATTTGATCCAATGTTGACTTTCTTGTTCTGTCCTCCTTTTTCTTCATTGGACCCATTCCATTTCCGCTTTCCTGAAGACTCGGCTCCTTGCTGGGAAGTTTGGTCAATCTCTAATCTATTTGAGATTGCCTGGGTAGTTTGCAATACTTGGCTATAGATAGTGAATTGGTGTGATGCCATTATTCCACCAATCTCAGGGCGCAATCCCAATTCGAACCTCCTTGCTTTTTTTACCTCTGTGTCTACTAGGTGTGGTGCATACCTAGAGAGTTGCTTGAACTTTCTCTCATAATCTTCAAGTTTTATCTTTCCCTGTTTGAGTTGAAGGAATTATGTCTCTTTACGATCCCTCAGGGCTTGTGGGAAGTATTTTCCCATCATCTCCTCCTTAAATTGCGTCCAAGTCAGAGCACGTTGTTGTGCTTCTGTTCTAGTACAAGATGCTGACTCCCACCAATGGCCTGCCGCGTCAACCAACATAAATTCTGCACATAACAACTTTTGAGCATCAGTGCAAGATAGATGTTTGAAGATTCGCTCCATTCCTCTTATCCATTCTTCAGCTGCTAGTGCGTATGTCTTGCCATCGAATGTTGGGGGTTTGTAGCGACAAAACTATTCCACAATTGAGCTAGTGTTGTTAGCATTTGTACCATGGGGACCACCCTGTGCTTGTTGCCTACCCAAATCTTGTACCACCCTTAGCAAATCTCTGATGATCGTAGCTTGGTTTTGTTGTTGTCTCGACATTTTCTTAACACAAATAAAATTTTAAGTTAGGAAAAATTGGTAAAACACTCTAATATTATTAATAATCTTTGTAATAACGAAGAATTTTAATATAATTTTCAAATCCTTACGTATAGAAAATTTGCTCTTCAAAAAATCAAATAAATAAATAAATAATCAAACTTTTTCCTAAGCAAATAAATAACACTTATCCCTAATCTAAAATCTTTTTTTTATGCCGTCTCATCATTCAAAGTAATGCATGACTCGGGCTCGAAATCCATAACCAAATCAATGAAATTTTGTGGTTGGACTTCTTGCTCAAGGTCTTCCAGCTCTGGTTCGATCTCCTCCTCTGGGTCTTTCTCCGACTCCTTCAACTCTGGCTCTGGCTCTGGTTCGAGCTTAGGTGCTGGTGCTTGTTGTTTGTGATTCCATAAAATTATGATATCTTCACAGTATCCTTTGAAATCAATCTTATCCCAATGTTCTTCCAAATATAAATCATAATCCATGTCCCTTGCAAAATAAGCCACGTCTCTCCATTGAGGTTGCATAGTGCTTATAAGGTGACATTTCGAAAGGATTGTCCCCTCATTATATCCAAACGACCTTGCTCGCTCCCACTTAGAAAGGAAATCTTCAACATGTACAACAAAAGTTCGCTCCCATCTCACTTTATAATTTATATAGTTCTTAATGGCCATTTCAACACGCTGGAGGTACGTTGGGCTATTTCTAGTCATCCTAATCACATGACAAGTATATTTCAATTATGTTTAATTTGGTATTATCAATATTATTTTGTTCTTAGTGCGTAAATGATGTTCTGGTAAAGTGACAAATAAACTATGCGAGGTGACCATGCTTATACATTTTATAATATGCAACAATGTTTAAAAACATGACATTACATTTCATACTTGGGATCAATTGGAGAGTAGTCGAATGGTGAGCGCCACATGCCAAGTATTCTTTATATCATTACATATTTAAAAATTTGCAATCACAACATAAAAATACTTTGATTTTATTTGTTTAAAAAATTTCTAAAATTGGAACGTCATAAACGTTTCTAATGATAACTATGTAAGTTCATTATTTAGAATAAGTTTTACACAAACCTTTAACATTAAACAAATGTAAGAAATAAGAAAGAAAAACTATTTTTGCATGAAAAGTATTGAACACTTCACGTGAACAACATACTATTTTCTTTATTATCACTATTCACGGATGAACAATTACTAATATATATATATACTGTTTAGGTGAATAGTAATTTTTTTCCATTTTACAAAATCTTTAAAAAAAAAAAAGAATTTTCTTAGAATTATTGTTCTCTGTCTTAATGATTTGAATGACATGTAACTGAAAAGACTTCAGGTAAGGAGGGGGGTCACAAACGGACCGCTTAAATCCCAAGCTCACCTTTGATACTTTAGGTCCTTTTGACAGAGTTTTTCAATCTTGTGGATACGCAAATCAAAGAAACTCGAAACAATAATTGGAAAAAAGAGATTTATAAAAATATGATTTTTTTATAATATACGCACGCCCTTTTTTTTTAACATATTAACAAGCATACTGAGACATAGATAAACACATGCACACACTAATTGATAAATAAGTACAACATGAATGAGTGTTTTGAAATATCAATTCATTGGTAAGACATCTGACAAATATATAAAAATTCATACCTTATATAGTCAATGTGGGAGGCAACAAAGGACATATAAATAAATATACTATGCAAAATGTCAGATGCCAATGACCAAATGGTCAATTCAGTCTAAATAAAAAAATTAAAGTGGCTCCATGAATCCAATTGGTCAATTCAGTCTAAATAAAAAAATTAAAGTGGCTCCATGAATCCAATTTTCTGTACTGCTCACGTGAACAGTGCCAGTTACTGTTCATGTGATTTTTAAATTTCTTTTTTCTTTTTTGAAAAAGTCTACAGGAAAGTAAAATCGGGCTCTGATACCATACTATAATGCCCCAATTTTTCGTTAAACACCGAAATGTTATGAAAAACTCATTTCTCTTTATCTTAAATGCGGAACTATAAAAAAAAAATTTTATTAAACAAATAACTGCAATATTTATAAATCTAAATTGAAATTGTGAAAATCGTATCTAAACATACACATAAACTTTTGGCTAATTCAAATAACACATTCTAAACAAATTAAACTAACTCGTAAATTTAAAACGACAATCTTATTTCTTTTTCTCTATTCTTTATCCACTTGGCAGCCCGCATCACCAAATCACCATTGTTCCAATCGACCTGAACTAAACTATAAAATTAATGTAAGAGTGAGTATTTAAAAATACCCAGTAAGGTACGTGCAATTTCCATACACAATTACATAACAAATAAATTATACACTTCATACCGCTATTCTCTTATGGAGTATATCGGTGACCAAGCGACACACCCATCTTAGGTCTTCTTAAATTCTCATAGAAATATCATACCTCTTTCTCTCGAACCTGAATGTCTATTAGTAATCCATGCATATTAATTGTATATAAGAGCATAAGGAAACTTAAAACACTTTGCACATAAATGTATCTTACTTCGTTAGAAAAATCTGAATGCAAGTTCAAAATATTTTCTCCACTTTGAAAAACACGTGATTAAAATATTTGCTGTATGAAAACTTTATTTCCAACACTTCCCTCTCTCTTCCCCCTCTCTCTAGGTTGCTTTCTGTCGTGCAGTGAGCCTGTATTTTTCTTTCCCCTTTGATTATCTCTCTCTATCTCTCTGCCGTATATAACATAAGAAATTTGTGTGGTTAATACCTTTTGAAAATAATGAGGTATTTATAGGGTAGGTTTCCTATGGAAAGTGGAATACGTACATGCTGATTGAATTTATCTAGAATATATGATAAGTCAAAATCTTGTGAAAAGCAACAAAAGGTCTAATCATATTGTACTATAATATTATCTTATTCAATCCAAGAAACCCATACCTACTACACGTGTCCCATACAATTTTTTTTTTCATGATATAACATGTAGATAAATTACAACAATCAAGTCAAACTTATCTAGCACGTGAACTTTCTGCTAAATGGTTTTAAAATTAGTTTCAAAAGTAGGCCTTGACTAGGATAGGTTTTAAATCAACCAACCAATCATTTCATATATAAAACTAGGATTAAATATTTGGAATGTACTTTTAAAATAAATAATAGTTATCCACCTTCACCCATGGACCATGGGCTGCTCAAATGCCAAAATCCCATTTAAATAAAATACTATTAAATAGACATTTCTTTAAACATAAATATCTAAGACGTAACTTATTCGAATTATCTTTTTCTTGAGCCTAAATTACATGATTTAATATGATCTATCCAACAAGTCCAATATCAATTTATTAAATCTCATTTTATAAAAATCTGATTATTTGAATGTGATTAAACCTTTTTCAAATTTAAGATAATCATGCTTATGCAAACAAACAATTTAAATAATCAAAGTGCGGAAATCTTTATTCTAGGCTAATGACGTCTAATTATTATAATTTAAGCTAATAATTAATAACCGTAATTTTATATACCATTAAATTATTTAAATGCTTAAATTAGTCATGTGAAAATATCTATGTACTATTCAATGTTACTATTATATAATAGGGTAGACAAGATTTCTAATACCAAGTTAAGTATTAAATATTAAAATTGATTGCCAATCCTTATCTACCCTTAACACGTGGCAGCCAGTGCTTGCAAATCTCAAAATCAAAACTAAAAGGGTGTCCATTGTTACATGTGCATGCTACCTTATTAAATATACAATATTAAATGTAAATCAAAATCAAATTCTAACAACTTCAATAAACTGAAATATATTGGGTCAAACTTATCCAAATTCATTTTTTCTCGAGTCTAAAATGCATAATTAAATATGAGCTATCTAACGAGTATAATATTGATATGCTTATACTCACTCTATCAAAATTCACATATTTGACCCCCGAAAATTTACGAATTTATAAATATATTTTGACTTAGTCCCTCAACTTTTGAAACCATAAAATATTATATATATTTACTCTAAAATTTTTGGGGTGTTACAACTTTGCTATTTATACACTGATTTTTGACACGTTGTTTAACAGTTGCATTGTTGTCAAGTACCAACTGGATGGAAAAACTGTTTGAAATTTAAGTTGTCAAATAGAGTAACGTGACGAGGCAAAGTGTGAATTAAAGTGTATACCATAGTGTACGTGTAACAATGTTCTTACAGATTGAACTTTGCTATTTGTACACTGAATTTTGACATGTTGTTTGATACTTGCATTGTTGACAAGTGTCAATTGGATGGGAAAATTGTTTGAAATTTAAACAGTCCAATAGGATAATGACACGTGGTAAAATGTAAACTAAAGTGTATACCATAGTGTACCAGCTGTAAGATTCTTACCGATTGAACTTTGCTATTTCTACACTGATTTTTGACATGTTGTTTGACACTTCCATTGTTGTCAAGTGTCAATTGGATGGGAAAACAATTTGAAATTTAAACTGTCCAACAGGGTAATGTCATGTGGCAAAGTATAAACCAAAGTGTGTACACCATAGTGTACATGTAGCAAGGTCCTTACCGATTGAACTTTGTTATTTTTACACTGACTTTTGACACGTTGTTTGACACTTGCATTGTTGTCAAGCATCAATTGGATGGGAAAACTGTTTGAAATTTAAACTATTTAATAGGGTAATGTCACGTGGAAAAATGTAAACTAAAATATACACCATAGTGTACATATAGGAAGCTCCTTATTGATTGAACTTTGCTATTTGTACAATGATTTTTGACACTTTATTCGACACTTGCATTGTTGTCAAGTGTCAATTTGATGGGAAATTGTTTAAAATTTAAACTGTCCAACAGGATAATGACCCATGGTAAAGAGTAAACTAAAGTGCACACCATAGTGTATATGTCGCAAGGTTATTACCGATTGAACTTTGCAATTTGTACACAGATTTTTGGCACGTTGTTTGACACTTGCATTGCTGTCAAGTGTCAAT